TAAAAATGGCTGAAGGGAGGATTTGACCCCCGGTCCTGCAGCAGCAGGGAAGCCCACCAGCTCAGACCCCAACCAGATGGTCAGCTCCTCCTCCCGGCCCCCCGGCCCCCCGCCCCAGATGGCAAACAGAGAACGGTCCAATCACATGTGGTGTGAAGTGCATTTAAAACAGTTTTGGGAGGGGCTGTGCTGACACCAGCTGTTATCTGGTACAGCACCATGCCCCTCCAAAACCCCTCAATGTCTACATGTATTTAAAATTGAGAAGTGGGCACCGGCACCAGAGGTGAGGCTGAATAAGCAGATTGTCCTCTAGATGCCGTTTAGTGTGCCCACCCCAAGGCCCCATATATATGTGTCATTGAGGTGTGGAATAACATCGAGGCACAGGGAGAGAGGAGGGATGCCTCCCTGCACCTCAGCGACACACCTGTACCTCAAGGCCCTGGGGGGGTGTGATGGAGCAGGAGGAGGGAAGTAATTGGGGATGGGGAGGGAAGGGATGCAGCGGCCCACGGTGGTGAGAGCCATGTGGACTGCATTCATCTCTGTAGTGACATCATCCAAGAGAAAAACTGAAGGGGAGGCTGGAGTGTTAAATTTCAGACACTTTGATAAATCTTCACCAAAACCTCTGGTGGAACCACAGAGCGTGGACGTGATTGTCAGGTGTGTTGCCATCACACTGTGAGCAGTTGATGTGAAACCTGAACACCTGTTGACCTGCATAGTGCACTCTGTGTAGTATTTTGTGTTGTAATAATTGCAGACTGGGATTTCTAATCAATTTAAAGATGTGTAAGCAAATCTTACATCAGAAGTTTTGATCTAAGCTGACAGATCTGCTTCCCATTTATTTTTTGAAATTGGAAGGGATACTGAGTCTTCATTAATCCCATGCAAACGTACACCTATCTGAAACAACTCGTCTTTTTTAGGAACTCCCACCCTGCTGTCAGAGAAGAGCTGATGTTGATGCTTTTAAAGCATTCATGTCGTTTGATGTTTGAGCTGATAAATGGTCTGAAATCTCTTGATTATTGCCACGTGCTTGTTCTGCATCTAGCCAAGGCTCAGCTAAGACGGTGTGTTAACATCCTGAGATGAACTGAAGCCTGTGGGCTGAGAAGTATTGTTGAAGTTAGGCAGATGTAGTCCTCCTTTATCCTTGGTCTTTTGTTTTTAAGCTGAAAGTTTGTTCAGGATCACTGAGAATAAATAATTTATTTTTGGCAAGACCATCGTTTTTATTGAAGTGACCCTTCCCATGAGTGATCTGGGTAGAGATTTCCATCTTCCCACATCGTCTTCTACTTTCTTTAAATGATGTGGTAGAGCAGGGCGATATGACCGAAAATATTTATCACGATATACATTTGAAAATTTGCGATAACGATATAACTGATGATATAATTGACACGAGACAAAATATTTTACAACTCCACAACTTTATTAGTGCAAAAAACCCATCAATGTATTTTCACTTAAACAAGCAGCTGTTTTTTTTATGTGCATTAAAGTTATATAAATATTTAACAGTGCAAATGCAAATTCCTCGCTGACAGTTTAACCAAAA